CTGGGGAGCCCGGCCTGCGGTGAGGGGGCAGGCTGTGTGGGGGGCAGTCTTCTGCAAGGGGAAGATAGCAGCAGGTTCTTAAAGGATGCTTCTAGAGGCACCTGGGTGGCTCAGTCGATTGAGTGTCCGACTTTGGCTCAGGTCACGAGCTCACGGTTCACGAGTTCCAGCCCTGCATCGGGATCTCTGCTGTCAGCACAGAGCCTGTTTCAGATTCTCTGCCTCCCTCTCTCTGTCCCTCCCCTCCTCATGTTCTCTCTCCCTCAAATAAATAAGACTTTTTTTTTTTTTCTTTTTAAAGGATGTTTCTACATGGAAGAGGGGTCACGAGGGAAAGAACTTCTTTCATGGCACAGACGGCAAGAGTAAGACACAGAGGTCTGAGACGTGAGAAACATCGGGCACTAGCTGGGAGCCAGATGGTCAGCGGGATGGGTAGGTGATGGGGGCTAGGCCCCAGGCAGAGGCACGTGACTAAGGAGCAGGCCTCACCACCAGGAATCCTGCCTTCCTGGTGAGGCAGCCTTCCACTTGACCATGGGGCTTCCCTTGACCCGAGAGGTGCCATGGACTCCCCCACCCCTAGCCTGGGCAGGGGAGGTCTATAATAGGACAGGGGACCAGTAGCATGTGGTTGAGGAAGGGACATCCGACCTGGCCGGTGGTATCTGATCCAGTCCCAATCGACTCCTTTTTAAAATTATGGTAAAACACACATAAGATAAAATTCACTCTTTTAGCCAATTTGGAAGTGTACAATTCAGTGGCACTTAATATAGTCACAATGTTGCACAACCACCACAGCTATCTAGTTCCAGAGCAATTTCATCACCCCAAAAGGAAACCTCGTACCCATTAGGGAGCCCCCCCGCCCATCCTCCCCACCCCCAGCCTCTGGCACCCGTTAATCTGCTTCCTGTCCCTATAGATTAGCCTGTTCTGGGTATTTTATATAAATGGAATCATATAATACGTGGTCTTTTGTGTCTGGCTTCTCTTACTCAGCATGTTTTCTAGGTTCATCCAGGTTGCAGCACATATCAATACTTCATTCCTTTTTATGGCTGAATAACATGAGACTGTGTGGATACACTACCTTTTATTTATCCGTCCATCAAGCAATCGACATCAGGGTTGTTTCCACCTCCTGGCTATCACAAACAGCCTGCTGTGAACCCAACGTCTCCTTTAAACTCTGCCTCCAACACACTTATGACTTTGGGGAATCTTCTCTCACCCTGGGCCCCTGAAGCCTCATCTATAACATAAGGTGGTCAGACCCCTCGCAGCCTGCGTGGCAACACCGCCCTCTGTTTACGTGCGTGTGTGTGTGTGCGTGTGTGTGAAGGTAACGTGTGCCCCACAGCTATTCCACCATTGCTGGATGCTGGAGATGGGACCTGGACCAGCCCACCTCATCTTCCTGGAACTCATGGCTGGTGGGGGAGACACGGGACAGGTACCTGCTGCGGGATGGGTGAGTCAGCATTCTAACAGAGGCCTGTCTGGGATGGGGCAGGTGCACCTCACCTCTGTCTGGGGGG